CTAAAAAGAAAAACAAGTTTTTCTAAAATGTTGCTTAAAAATGGCAGGTTGGATACCGGTCTGTAGTTGTTAAAATCAATGGGGGACACAGTGCTTGTGAACATATGCCTCCAGCCTTCAAGGGTTCTAATTCTCCCGTGACTGTAAAGGGCTGCTAACGTGTTTGCCTATGTGGAATTACTGAAAATGAATGAAGTAAACTAATGGTGCACCTTGTCAACAGATACTGCTGTTATATGAAGTCTCTGGAAGGTTTCAGACACAGAGACGTGAAGAAGATGACATAGTCTGGGATCGCGTCTTACATTCAGACAGAAGACATGTTTTATTGTCAATGGTAGAGACAGCACGAACAAAGCACACGATCACAGATACAATAGAATGCAAGTGTATTATACAGAGCGGAGGCATGGAGACCTCCAATCAGCAGCTGCCACGGTGCCATGTAGCTTGGCCTTCAGATAGACAAAACAAGGGAAAAGTACTGGCTTCTGCACATTGATAGAATGATGAGTTTAACTTTAACAAAAGTTGCTTCAAAGTGTTATGAAATCTCACATTCCCCCCTCTGGTCATACATTCACGTGTGACCATCAGGATCGATAAACAGCAACATAACATCATAACTCAATACTTAAACTCATACTTCACTCGGTACTTCAAAAAACTCAGAACTCGGAATACTTCAAAAACTCAGAAAACTCATAAAACATGTTCAGATCTTTCATAAAACTTGTCAACAATCTTCAGTAAAATACCAAACTTCATCAGTCGATGGTGGTTCCAGATATTGCTTTGAAAACAGTCTCTCCCACTTCTCTGTGTTGGTTTCTTCAGGCTGCATTTGTGTCGAGCCATGAATTCTTCTGTGACGTGTCTTTCAATCACACGTTTCAGCTTCAGTGTCCAGATTCAGAAATCAAATTCAGTCCAAATTATGTCCAAATTCAGAAATCCAGATTGTTCCAAATCATGTCCAAATTGTGTAATCCAATTTTTCCAAATTATGTCCATGCAAAAGAGGACAATGGTCTTGTCCATGTCTCAGCAGCTCACAGCCTGAGTGGAATCAGGGGCTGTGCAGATTGTCCATGTGTGCTGGTCCAGATGCATGGTTTCTCTTGAGGTTTTTCAGTTTTGGCTTGAAAAAAAAAAACACTTTTTGTGTAAAAAAAAGTAGTCTTCTGTTCTCTAGATGTTACAGACAAGGCCCGCATCCTTCCACCACCTGAAGAAGATGACAAAGTCTGGGATCGCGTCTTACATTCAGACAGAAGACATGTTTTATTGTCAATGGTAGAGACAGCACGAACAAAGCACACGATCACAGATACAATAGAATGCAAGTGTATTATACAGAGCGGAGGCATGGAGACCTCCAATCAGCAGCTGCCACGGTGCCATGTAGCTTAGCCTTCAGATAGACAAAACAAGGGAAAAGTACTGGCTTCTGCACATTGATAGAATGATGAGTTTAACTTTAACAAAAGTTGCTTCAAAGTGTTATGAAATCTCACAGACGCTGCAGAGTTGCATTCTTGGAGAACTTTAACCCTGTTAGCATCAAAGCCCTCCCCCAAATTCAGTCCTGCTTCCGCCATGGTCGGCACTAGATCATATACGGAATCGGGATGGAAGCGGAAGTAAATATAACCAACTACCTAAACTAATAGATCCATGCCCACCCTTAACCCTAACCATAACCATCTTACTCATACACCTAAAGCTTAACCAGTCACCACTTAAAAACCGAGACTCCTCTCCTCAATCGAGAAGTGGCTGCTTCAAGCACTTGTTCGATACCGTTACCGGTGGAAATAGGACATCTTGTCAGGGGTCACAAAGAACGGTATTTGGAGAAGTTAAGGATCGCCAAACTGGATGTTGACCCGTACCTTCTCCCAAATTAATTGATTAAATGAGATGTCCAACTTTGCTTGAATTCCACCAAAATTTAAATTTAGATCATGCGGGGTGCATGATCTAAATTTAAATTTTGGTGGTAGCATTAGTGCATTAGCAATAGTCCACTTTCTGTGGCTTTTCTGTCTACAGCCAAACATGATACAAATTGACGAAGAGGAAAATTGTGAAAAACGCAACTCAATCAATCAATCAAATTTTATTTATAAAGCGCTTTTCATACAAAAGATGCAACACAAAGTGCTTTACAGTTTGGTTAAAAACAATCCCGCCGGACCATGACCCCTCCCCTAGACCACCCGACAGACCCACACACACACACACACACACACACACACACACCAGTAAAACAATGATGAGAGACTTGGTAGGGTTCAGATGCAACCAGCTGAAAAAGCGTCATCCAAGGAGCCGTCTGCACCAGGAGCAGAGAGCCGCCCCACAGAATCTAGAGGAGACCCGAAACCGAGGCCCCAGGCCCCCACCAGGTCCAAGAGTTCGACCCCCACAGCCACGCCGACCACCGCTCCCAGTGCAGAGGGCTCCTCCAGAGGAAACACTGGGTACACTAAAAACAATACAATAAGTAAAACACTAAAATGTGAAACTAAAAGGAACTATCACACAATACATGAATAAAAGCATAGCAATATAATAAATCAGGGGTGCTCAATACGTCGATCGCGATCTACCAGTCGATCGCAAAGGTAGTATTGGTAGATCGCATTAAATAAATAAAAAATTACACATTCTAAACGAATATATGCAAAAAACTCCGGGCAAAGTGGAGATTTTTGAAAACTCCGTTAATGCATTTGTGTGTAGACAGAGATAACCGGAGTTTTGCGTTCTCGCACGCCACAGTACCCCCCTAAATTCCTCTGATCACTGAAGCATGGATCATACTACCTTAAAAACTGTTCGCTGTGAGATGCTCGCAGCAGCAAACATCCTCCACATCAGAGAGCAGCAAAGTGATCGCGGGGACTCACGCTCGAAAACAACCAAACCAGGACTAAACCAGGACTAAACCAGGACTAAACCAGGGCTGAGGACGGGGTCAGTGCTTTTAAACATACGTCTTTACTCTGAGTGTCTTCTATGACTGTAAAAGTGCCGTTACCGGCGTCTGCATCAAAGCTCCGCCCACTTCTGTGTTTTTCCCCAACGCAGGACAGGACGTAAGAGACGCACATGTTTGGAATGTTACGAATGTGACTGATAACGCAGATGTGTGGATGCAAATTATTTTATAAACTGAGGAGGGGAAATATTTGGATTTAAAAAAAACAGGCATGGCACATGGACATGGCACCACAGTCAAATGACATCTGTGTTTTACTCAGTAATGTTTTACTGACACTACTGCACATGCGCAAACAACCGCGCTCAGTGCAGGAAAGCTAAACAACGACAAACTTGTCAGCGAGTTGCCACCAATTTTCCGGACTATGCATCCCTGGCCGATTCAATTCAGTGCAAGTCATCAGAGTAAACTCGGGTAATGACAAAAAATTTACATAGGTAATTATGTTGTGTTGTGCTATATTGGCTCATGCAGTTTTGCATGTACATAAACATACATTGTAGGTATAAAGAATATTTTTTGAAATAAATATATGATTTGCATTTTTGTAGTAGATCATTTTGACTTGATCCTTTTATAAGTAGCTCGCATGCTGAAAAAGTGTGAGCACCCCTGATTTAGACCATAGACTGTATATATTAACGGACAGAGTCACGCCGATCTCCATCGTTCTTGTTACAGCCCTAAACTTGGCTCTGAGAAGGGGAAAGGAAATGCAACATACACAACCAGATGTAATTGGCAAAAGTAAATGGCCTTTTATTTCTAGGCAGAAAAGGTAACGTCCTGGACAAAACTTAGAGTCAGTAACTAAACAAAAGGGGTTCCTTCGACAGGTAACAAATCACAATTCTATGAAGGTCTCGTAAGGTCTCGTACGGTCATACGCGGTCACGTAAAGTCTCTCAAAGGTCTCAGCTCTCCTCCACACGTCTGTCTCTCAAGGCTGGCGCACTTGTACTGGAAACAAGCCGCCCCGTCTGGACGTCGCACCGCTGTTTTATTGGCCGCGGGCAGGACAGCTGGTGGCGCAGATTGCTTCGGGCGGAGCTCCTATTGGCCATACAGGAGGACTCCGGGCGAATGGCAGCATCTGGGAGGCGGGCCCTAGGTTTCGCGGGAATGAGCCAGACACACAGACAGGAGAGACGCACAGGGAGAGGGAGGGGGTGCTTGCGCAAAACGGCCCAGACCTGGAGCCGGTGTAACGCCGAGATACACTGTCTTGAAGAGATGCACAGCCTCAGCTGTTTATCATGTAATGCAAACCTGCGCATGCGCGTCTCACGGCAGCCGAAGCATACCAAGATGGCGGACCGTGAATTGCTTTAAAAGTTAAAATACGAACGAATTAAGACACGAATGTCACTTTTAATGCAATTTGAGGCGAGATGTTGATGGTTCCGTTTTGTCACATGTGGGTTTTAAGAGTCAAAGTTTTGTGCAAAGTTTAGTTTAAGCAGTCAACTGCGCCTGTGAAACCACAAAGCTAATGTTTTCATAGCAGTCCGCGGCTGCTGACGTAGGCTGATGACGCGTCCTGTGGCCACTCTACACTGGTCTGTCGGGTTGATAATGGAAAATGGGGAAAAAAATCAATCTAATTAAATATTTTGTTTGAACACACTATTGTTAATCATATTAAATACAGTACGATACATGTATTGAATGAAATTTATTATTTCCATTATCAACCCGACAGACCAGTGTAAGAGCGTAGAGTGGCCACAGGACGCGTCATCAGCCTACGTCAGCAGCCGCGGACTGCTATGAAAACATTAGCTTTGTGGTTTCACAGGCGCAGTTGACTGCTTAAACTAAACTTTGCACAAAACTTTGACTCTTAAAACCCACATGTGACAAAACGGAACCATCAACATCTCGCCTCAAATTGCATTAAGTGACATTCGTGTCTGAATTCGTTCGTATTTCAACTTTTAGCAATTCACGGTCCGCCATCTTGGTATGCTTCGGCTGCCGCGAGACGCGCATGCGCAGGTTTGCATTACATCATAAACAGCTGAGGCAGTGCATCTCTTCAAGACAGTGTATCTCGGCGTTACACTGTAACAGTTCTAACTAATGGGCCAAAAAATGTGCTCTACTGGAGCTATCCAAAATGGCCACGAGTGGTCCCGCCCACAAGAAAATTGTGAAAAAACGCATCCGCGCATGCGTCAGCCAGCGCAACTCCATTCATTAGAACGAGAGACTTCAAAAATTCACAGCGAGTAAACTAGAGTGGACCAAAAAACTTCACCCCCCCTCAGCATTGACATACATGTGGAACGGAGCTTTGGGCCAAGAGCCAACTTTTGGTCCATCCTGTAAAGACGTTTTCGAGAGGTCTGCCAATGCTATATGTTAGCATTGGCTAATTCTTCTTCTGGGTCCACCCCCATCGGCCCGGGGTGGTATTGCAAGTATGTCAGCGCACGTCATTTTGGCCACTTTTGAGCTGGGACCCGCCCCCACTGATTTAGACCAGTGGGGGCGGGTTTCGGCTCAAAAGGCTAAAGGCTAAATCTTAGACTGCCAGTCAAGCTGCGTAGGGAGACAGTTTGCTGGGAGAAGTATGGTAACTTGAGCACTATCCTCTCCTCCTTCCTACTCTATCTATCAGCATTATTAAGATTTTGACTATGTGTGTTCATTGCTATTTACCCGTTGTCCCATTGTCTGTTTAATGGTGCGACAACGGGACCTCTGAACCTGGCCTCCTTCACCTTCATCTGCGGACTGCCCTGCCCGACCCGCCTGGGAGCGCTTCAGTCTTGCACCTGTCCGCATTATTAAGATTTTGACTGTAGTGTGTTCATTGCTATTCACCCGTTGTCCTATTGTCTGTTTCATGGCGCGACAACGGGATCTCTGAACCGGCCCTATCCATCGACACCTGCAAACTGCCCTGCCGCCCTCCATCTACACCTGCGGATTGCCCTGCCCGACCGGGAGCGCTTCAGTCCTGCACCGGTGTTCTGTCGAGTTGTGCCGCCTCAGCTGTTAATGATGTAATGTAAACCTGCGCTGCGCGTTTCACGGCAGTTGAAGCAAACCAAGATGGCGGACATGAAGTCCGTGATTTACTTTATAAGTAAAAATAAGAACGAAATACAACACAAATGTCACTTTTAATGCAATTTGAGGCGAGATGTTGATGGTTCCGTGTTGTGATATGTGGGTTTTAAGAGTAAGAGTTTCGTGTAAAGTTTGTTTTAAGCAGTCAACTGCTCCTGTGAAACCCAGAGCCATGGTGAAACCACACTGCTACTGTTGTGATAGCAGTCTTCGAGTTGACTGCTGGATACACGTTCTGCGGCCGCTTAGCTTAGGTCCTGGATCATTAGCCCGTCACCCCGAGATTTCTCACTATTTTTTTCCCACTGGGTTTTTGTGAGTTTTTCCTTGCTGATGCAGGAGGGTCTGTTGGGCAGTTAATGTCTAACTAGAAGGACAGTGGTGATGAACCAGGACACTTTAACATTCTACAGCATGTATGGATATTTATCAACATTCATGGACATCGGTCTCTCCCTATGGACCAATTCATATGTGTATATTTTGTGTCTTAACTGTTGATTCTCTGATCTGTGTTGGTGATTTCAATGGTTTTGTTAAGTCCTCTGAGATGACTTCTGTTGTGATTTAGGGCTATTGAGAATGAGGAGTTGACGTCACGGCACAGAGTCCCCCCTCCCCATCCCCCCTTTGCCGACATATTGGCTGCGCACCGGTGGCGGCAGTACAGTTTGTTTACGTGTGTTGTGAACGCGGTAGTAGCGGAGGTTCTTGCTATTCCGCACTGTTTTATCATGCCTGGAAATAACTGCTGCGTTAAAAACTGCTCCAATACCTCCCACGATGGATATGGAAAACCTAGTAACAACGGGATACAGTTTTTTAGGTTACCGAAATGGAAAAAGCATCAAGGGGAGCAATTCTCTGACCTGACAAGGAGACGTCGGATTGCTTGGTTGGCTGCAATTAGAAGAAAGGACCTTACTTTCGATCACACACCCCTGTCGACGAGAGTGTGTTCTCTGCATTTTCACTCTGGTACGTTCTCTAAAAATGTATTTATGTAGTTGTCTCTTAAAGCTAGGAAGTGTAGGTTAGCATATGTTATTATGGTTTCTGTAGTGCCTTTGTCTCTGTGTCTTTGTTACCCTCTCAGGCTGTTTCTTACTTAGCACGTGTTCTGCGAGGTCTTTGCCAGTGTAAAGCATAGATTACATAGATTGTACACATAATCTAATTATTCTGTTGTACATAAACCTTCATATGACATTATGAGGTGACCTAAAAAGTACTTGAGATGCTGTTCATGACATAGTTGCCAGTTTAAAGCATTGATTACATAGATTGTGCAAATTATTATATTAATTATATGTTGTTATTATTCTCGTGTAGGTAAACCAGCATATGAGATGTTGGAGAACCACCCTGACTGGACACCATCCCTGTTGTTAGGCCACAATGATGTACAAAAAACAGATGAAGCGAGATATCAGCGGCAAGTAAGGCGCAGGTCCCTGCCACTGGAGCGGCAGCCACCTCCAGCCCAACACCAGCCGCAGGCGCCGCCGCCTCCAGCCCTAGACCAGCTGCAGCCGCCACCAGCCCTAGACCAGCTGCAGCCGCCACCAGCCCTAGACCAGCTGCAGCCGCCACCAGCCCTAGACCAGCCGCAGGCGCCGCCGCCACCAGCCCTAGACCAGCCGCAGGCGCCGCCGCCACCAGCCCTAGACCAGCCGCAGGCGCCGCCGCCACCAGCCCTAGACCAGCCGCAGGCGCCGCCGCCACCAGCCCTAGACCAGCCGCAGGCGCCGCCGCCGCCAGCCCTAGACCAGCCGCCAGCTGACCCGGACATGGAATGTGGACTCTGCACATCTAGACGAGATGTTATCAACAATCTTCTTGAAGAAAACAGACAGCTGAAGCGTGAGCTTGATACGTACCGGATGAATGAGAACTTTCTGAGTGGTGATGATAACACAGTGAAGTATTACACGGGGCTTCCAAACTTTGCATTGTTCCAGACACTTCTACTCTACCTAACTCCAGATCTGCCTCAAGGTAGAATGAAGAAGCTCTCACCCTTCCAGCTTGTCCTATTGACTTTAATGCGCCTCAGACTGGACCTTCCAATACAGCACCTCAGCCATCTGTTTAGAGTACATAGGACAACAGTCGCCGATGCCTTTCACCATACCCTTGGTGTGATGTACGCACAGCTGTGTCCATTGGTGCACTGGCCAAGTAGGGAATGCTTATTGACCAGTATGCCACACCAGTTTGTGGAGTCATTTGGGAACAATGTGGCTGCCATTGTGGACTGCTTCGAGGTGTTCATCGAGAAACCTTCCAATGTACTAGCAAGGGCACAGACTTTTTCTCAATACAAACACGCATACACTATGAAATACCTAATCGTGATCACGCCCCAGGGTGTAATTTCCTTCATATCGAACGGGTGGGGTGGGCGCACAAGCGACAAGCATATAACCGAGCAAAGTGGTTTCCTGAACAAGCTGTTACCAGGTGACATTGTGCTGGCAGATAGAGGCTTTAATATAAGAGAACATGTGGGCATGATGTGTGCTGAAGTGAAAATACCTACATTCACCAGGGGTCGTGCTCAGCTTGAGGCGAAAGATGTGGAGGAGACTAGGGCCATAGCACATCTCAGAATTCACGTGGAGAGGGTGATCGGTGTTGTGCGCAACAAATTCAAATTCTTACACTCAACTGTACCTGTGCACATGCTTGTCAAATGTGAGGGTGAAAACCTAATGCCTTTGGATAAGATTGTCATTGTTTGCTGTGCCTTAACGAACATGTGCAAAAGTGTTGTTTGAGTACCTTATTCTTTACTGTATCTTTTATTTGTAAATAAATGCATGAAACAACTTGATATGGTTTACCAATATTTATTGAGAAATGAATTATTTTTTTTGTTACAAACGTGTGCAGTCAAAGTACTGTTTCCAGCAAAACATGCCCAACATAGGTAAAAATGATTAAGAGTCATACTTTTCTTAGTGCAAAGGGACACAAAACACTGCTAAACAACGTGTGCATTCAAAGTACTGTTTCCAGCATGTAAACATGCACAGCATAGGCAAAAATGATCATAAGAGTCAAGTGAAAAGGGACACAAAACACTGCAAAACAACGTGTGCATTCAAAGTACTGTTTCCAGCATGTAAACATGCACAGCATAGGCAAAAATGATCATAAGAGTCATACTTTTCTTAGTGCAAAGGGACACAAAACACTGCTAAACAACGTGTGCATTCAAAGTACTGTAATAAGTTGTTGGAGTCAGGAGGGCCAGCTCCACTCTGGGCTGCCCTTGGACTCTGTGGAGGAGGTGAGGGACATGAGGGTGCTAGTCAAAGCTACCTCCATCATGAATAACACCTCCCACCCACTGCACAGGACTGTAGAGGAGCTGAGGAGCTCCTTCAGTGGAAGACTGAGGCACCCTCAGTGTAGGAAGGAGCGCTACCGCAGGTCCTTTATCCACACTGCTGTCAGACTGTACAACAAGTCACTTTAAAGACCTTATGACGGGTTTTTAAATAAAAAATTGTGGATATCAAAATTGCATGACAATGTCAATCTGAAAGAGATTCCGGCCCAAAAAATCCTGTCACTGCACTATGACTGAAAAGAAACCTGCACTACTATTGACACTTCTTTCTAATCGCCACTTTTTTTGTACATTATATATCCTGCATTAACATGCTGCACATTTCTTGAGTGTTCCTATCCTTGCCAATGTGACATGTAAATTTCCCCTGTGTGAGATTAATGAAGTCTTATCTTATCTTGTTGTAAAACGATAAGAGCTTGTGGAAAGAAGCTGTTACCAGATATCCTTCATCTAAACGAACAATATCTTCTGCCAGGTGGAAGCAGCTAGATAACGGCTGTTCCAGGGGCCAGTAGATTTTATATACATTGATATTTTATATTTTATTTTCAGATCCTTTACTCTTGTTTATGTGCGATAATTATTAATGATTTTAATGCCTTGTTTTTTCTTTCTTGTTTTGTTAAGCACATTAAGTTGCCTTGTGTAAGAAGTATGAACTGTGCAATAAAAATAAACTCGTCTTACTCCGGTACAGCGGGTGGCAGCATACAATAGTTAAGCGCATGCGCAGACTTTCTTACAAGCAGGAACAGTCTCATCCCCGTTCACCACAGGTTTTTATCTTATTCTCTAGAAAAAAGGTAAACGGGCAATTTTTTTGTCTCAATGTAAATTATACGAATAACCAAATGCATTATATGATTGCTAAATGACATATTGTATCCGTGTTTGTACCTTAATGCTATAATATCGCCTTCTGTTGTCCCGAGTTGTGCTAACCGGTGAGCTAGCATTAGCATCTGATCCACTCCAGCCTCTTCAGCTTTTGTTTCGTGGACTCGTCAGTCTGATATTGTTCCGAAGTGTAGCTTCATTTGAAATTGGCATTTTATCTGCGAAACTCTACAAGATTCCTCCAGAAGGCTTTACTACGACAGGGATATGTCCACTTTGCTCAATCTCTTTAATTTAATTAAACAGAAGCTGTGATAAATATTATCATTAGTAGTCACACTAGAATTGCACTGACTTCTCACATGTCCTTTAAATCACACAAAAAAACACACTTTTGCGACGTTTTTCTTTCAGTGTTTTTTTCCCCACTATTGTTTACAAATTATTTTTATATTGTTAGTGGCAATCTTTTAACGCCTTGAGACATAGGAGTTAATCACCTCACATGCCCATGCCTCATCCATCAACATCTGCTGTTTGTCCAACCAGGAAGAATAGGAAGATGATAGCAAATAATATTCATATTTCTCTTCTGGGGTGAAATGCAAAGACTTGAGTGAGTCCCTATGGAAATAATTTACATTGTTAAATGTGGCATTATTGTATGTGCCACCTCCAATGAGGATCTCATGAGTACGAGCTGTGTTAGTTTGTTAAAAGTGTAACTGTATGATATTTTTGTAATGCTATTTGTCAATATTCTGCCCTTGTTTTACTGCCAGCTCTTAGGAGCTCTTCATCAACAGTAAAGCTGTATAAGCTCCGGGTTGACGGGACCGAAGGAAGTGGCGTGTCATACGGGGAGCTGCCTGCCGAAATCGTCATGAGTTATAAACCTATTGCTCCTGCGCCGTCTGGCTCCAACCACACCCCTCCAGGTTTGACAAATATCAAAGAAATAAATCTGAACTAGTTGTATAGACCAATCTTTAAAAAGTGTGTAGGGGATTACTGAGGGTACGTCTAATGATTTTCTAAACTATATTATACAGAATTTTAACGCTCAAAGAAAACAACATCTAGAGACTCGATTATATTCTAACATTTTGAACTTAATCGACAATAGTAATGCTATGCTCTCCTTAGTTTTAGTAGTTGTGTACATCTAAGAAAGATTTGTGGCCCCACAAAGCATCTTCATAGACAATGTTGTTTTCTTTTTTTCTGCAGTAATTCCAGCTTTGTAGTAATCTGTTTGTAATAAAATGGTTGTGATTAATTGATTATCTTGTTATAGCCCTTGTGTGAACAAATGTTTTTTACTTTTAGGTTCTTCTGTGCCATCTCCATCACTACCATCCTCTTCTAGTTTTAGACCAGCATTTAGTGACTTTGGTCCACCGTCTATGGGATTTGTCCAGGTATAACCTCCTGGAGCCAGTCTGTGTTGAGTGTATAAAGTGCATAAACTGCTTTTTTGTTTCTACAGCCTGTAAAGGTGTCGCAAGGGTCAACATATAGTGAACTTTTATCCGTCATTGAGGAGATGAGCCGAGAGATCAGGCCTACATATGCTGGAAGCAAAAGTGCTATGGAGAGGCTAAAAAGAGGTATTTAATTACTTGTTGGGTCAAATGAATGATTTAGAAAAACAAGACTGTGTTTACATGTACACTTTCATATGAAATGTAGATTGAAAGGAAAAGGCTACAAAATTGATTATTTACATGCATAGTCATGCTCCAGACTGCCACTAATTGGTTGTTTTGCCCCTATTTATCGGAATCAGAATCATTTATTTGCCATGTAAGTAACAGGAAGTGAAATACTAGGAAATTGCTTGGCTTTAAAGTACAATGTTAATATAATGTATGTGCCTTTTTAAGACTAGGGATTTCTAACCTAAAGCTCTGGAGCTCACCTTTGAAGGTAGCTCTAAGAATTTTTAAGAATGAAAATTTGTAAAAGCATACATCAACATAAGCGTTAGTTCAATGGTAATGTTAACTGTACCCCATCTAATCCCTGTTATGACTCAATTTCAATAAGTCCTGAAAAAAGCAGCCTCTAAAACCTGCAGAAATAAGGTCAACTACTGTCTTCCTAAAAAATTTTAGTCTGGATTTCTTAAACGGATATTTGACAAAATATTTGTCCTTTGATTGAGAACTGATGTTATTTTTTTCTTTTCTAAATTATTTTTGCAGGTATCATTCATGCCCGTGCTTTAGTAAGAGAGTGTATTGCAGAGACTGAGAGAAGTGCACGCACGTAACCTTTATGAATTTCCATCACCTTCCCCATGTAATTCTGCTTCAAAATGCCACTTCAATTTTTACAACAGATTTTACCACAAATTCTTTTGTTTTAAAATATTTAATACTGTTGATTGCATGTCAGTCACTTGTTGCATTTTCAGGCTTTTACAAAAACAAATGCACAAACAAGTGTGTGTTTAATCAGAGATGCTTTCAGGTGTGCTTGTGATTTTGGATGCTGAATACATGAGTTGCATTTTTTGGGAGCAAGAGGTAGTAGTTCAAAATATTGATCAGATACATGTTTTACTGTATACGTTCTTTGTTGTGAACCCTTGACTTTCACCAATGAGTATGTGTGCTATTTCTATTCATATAATGGGAGAAAAAGCATTGTTCATGGCAAGAAATTGGCTTTTAACCTAATTAGGTGTGATGTAATTATTGAATAATCTATCCTCATGGGCACATTGTAAAGTATTCTTGTCCTCTTATTTTATGTACCACCTTTTGAGAAATTTGTAACCCTGTCATTTCTGTATACCAAATAATTTTGCTAGTATAAACATTTTGTAATTGAGATTTTTGCAGTTCAGTATGGACTTTAATAAAATAACAAGAAATGTGTGTTTATTAAAGAAATACATGTCATCTCATTAAGCATTTGTGATAAAGATAATATAATGTGGCATAATTACAATTATAAAAGCGTGCACACAGAAACAGCCTCGACCTTGGTGTCTGAGTTTCAAAAGATGTGGATGGAAAAGAGAAATGTTCATTAAATTAAAGTGATTCAACTGACATAGCATTACATCTAAAGAGTATTTGGTGGAATGACCTCTACACTAGCAAAGCCACAGTTTGATCATATAAAATATACATTGACAGATCTAGAACTGACATCAGAGGCAGATTAATGCTCAAATTTAACATTCACAACAATGACTCGTTCATTAGTTAAAAGTAGTGTCTAACCTGTCATGGACCTTAAGGGGAAAAAAAAACTAATGTTCAGGTTGATCAGCAATGTCCATCAGTCCAGTTTTTGGCTGCAACTTCATGCTTGGCTTTGGATGAAGTGAATAGAAAATAATCACAATTCTTGCTTTCATAGGGAGGACCCAAATGTATGTTTCAGGTAGGTAGGGTAAGATCAGCATAATGGTTCTTGAACATTTTGGAAAAACTGCCATTTGCACATTTATCCCTGTATAAAATGTGAAATGTATTAAAAAGTGAAGATTCTGAAGCATATAATGATGGTAAAGTACTGACTGTGGTGGCAGTAGCAGGCGCTGTGGTGGAACTGAATAGGCCTTTATATCTGCCCTTCTCTTCCTTCTCCTTCGTTCGGATCCGTTCCTCCATTGCACGCAACTCCTTTGCCACACATGGTCCCAACGAGGGGTCCAACTGCACAACTTTAGCAAAGTCTGCACGAGCTTCCAGCTCATTCCATACAGCAGCATGAGCCTTTCCTCGCTTGTAGAAGGCCTTGACGTTATCTGAAGAATACAACACTGATTACAAGACTGCTTAAAAAATATGTACTTGAGCCGTCGTATGCTGTGTAGGTCTATAGGGAATCCTCACACGCATTGAATTAAAAAGGGTTCATTTTCATTTCATTTTTCATTTATTTATTTATTTGAGCAGAAACTTATTTAAAACATTTTACAGAAGAAAACAAAACAAGACTATTGTGCTCAAAAGGAGTAGGAAGAAGTTCAAAGAACTTATAATAAACCTACCCCTTATTTCTCATTAAAGTAACACAAAAATCACAAAGGATTTTTCATTTACAGTCGTACAAAATAAATAAAGGATTTATCATTTACAGTTTTACAAAAATAAATACACCATATGGTATTTAATATGTATAGCAATTATATTGCAACATCACTTCATCTGACTGAAATCGACACATTTTTTACAAACTCAATGCATTGAACTTATGCATGTGTAAACGTTCGGTTTTTAATAATTTTTTTTTTTTTTTTTATTCTTTTTTTCCATCCCTCTCTACAATACCTCAATCCTCATATACGGGCAAACCCCATAACAACAACAAAAAGCGCGACTGTGTGCCTGTCTGTGGAAATAATAGTAATTATGATACTTCACTAGCATAATTTCTAAAGATAATGTCTTTACATGTTTTTTTAAAGTGTACTAGTGTTTTGCTCTGTTTTGTGTCTTTATTTAGGTCATTCCACAATGTTATTCCTGCTTGGGAGATACACATACTTTTGAGGGTGGTGTGAACACAATGTTTCCTCATCACAAATTCTCCTCTTAAATTATAAGTTCCTTCTCTACTGCTGAACAATTTCTGAGTGTTCCTAGGGAGAAGGTCACGACTTGCTTTGTATAATACAACAAGAGTTTTAAATTTAATTAAGTCTTCAATTTTCACTATACGAGATGCTAAGAACAACTCATTTGTATGGTCCCTAAAACCAACGTTATGAACAATTCTTATGGCTTTTTTCTGAAGTTTTAAAAGTGGATCTAAATGAGTTTTATAAGTGTTACCCCACACCTCCGCACAGTAGCTGATATATGGGAGAATTAAAGAACTATATATAATATGTAAGGCTCTATATTTTAGCAGATGTCTAGCTCTGTACATTACCGATATACTCTTTGCCATTTTTGATTGTATGCTTGTTATATGGGGTTTCCAGCTTACATTATGACTTAAAATCACACCCAGAAATTTACATTCGTGAACTCTCTCTATTTCCATATTGTTGATTTTAAGTTTTACTTCAGTGTCTTTGATTCGTTTCCCAAAAATCATCATTTTTGTTTTCCTAATATTCATTGACAGTTTGTTATTATCGAACCATTGTTTTAACTTGTTTATTTCTGTTGAGATTTCCGTCATAAGAAGCTGTAAATCCTTTCCTGAACACAGAATCGTTGTATCGTCAGCAAATAGTATGAATTTCAGTTTAGAAGAGGTATAACAGAGATCATTTATATATAATAAAAACAACATAGGACCCAAAATCGATCCTTGTGGCACCCCGCAAGTAATATTCTGCATTTCAGACATGCATTCCTCCAGTTGAACATACTGTTTCCGGTCTGAGAGGTATGATTTGACCCAGTTCAGTGCAACTCCACGAATGCCATATTTTTCCATTTTTTGCAGTAGTATTTGATGGTTCATTGTGTCAAACGCTTTTTTAAGGTCTATAAATATTCCTACAGAGTATAGCTTTTGGTCAATACTGTTGGTTATATCCTCAAATACTTCTGTTAGTGCTAGGGTAGTTCCTCTATTTTTTCTAAAGCCATACTTCATTACAATCACAAACCACTGATTCAATACAACTCTGCTACACTTACAGATGCAAGTCTCTCACATAACATGTTCTCACATAAACACACAGACAAAAAGAACAATTTGAGGGTTCCATAGCCAGAGGGAAGAAGCATTTTGTTGAACCATACTCACCAACGCGCTATCATCACAGTAAAGCTGAGAAATTTACTTATTGTAAATTTTGATCAGACCATAACTCTTGAAAACAGATTCTAACTTGATCTTGGCGGGACTAAATTCAAAGAAGGCCTTGGATTGGGCTTAAAAAGTCACCACTTTCTATTGCTGATTTAAAGATTCTGGGAATACCCCATAATTACTATTGCTTTAGCAGTTCTACCTTCATATTTGAAGAGCAAGGATGAGCAGTGTTCGATGACTTCATAGTACTGTCCCAGCTGCAACTTGCACTGACAGTAATTCAACAGCAGAGGAGTGATCATCAAATCCAATTTAACCCAGGCTCCATCTCCTGGTTGCTCCTTATTATCAAAAAGAAGGCATTTAGTCAATAATGCAGTGCTATTGTACATATGTGATGAACTAACCTTCATTTGTAGGTTTTTCAGACAGGCTATGCCATTGTAATACTTTTCTGATGCCTCGGCTGTTTTCCCCTCTTTGAACAGTTGATTTCCCTGCTCATGGATTTGAGGCACAAAGCTCAACTTCTCCTCATCTGACATTGCCCACACATCAAGCTGGAAGCTACCTGGAGGCAGCACCTGCAGAAGTTTGGGACATATTTATCAGTGGGACGGATTTTACTTTGGAAATATTTGGGGAACTAACAAAAGGCAAATGTCCTCTTTCTAACTCACCTCCAGAAGTTCTAATGAAAATAGCAGAGGCTGTGGGTTCGCTTGAAGATGGTCCAGGTCTTTGTGGCCCAGTGAGTGGTGAGAGTGAATCTGTGCAATACCACAGCAGTGCCTTTGTCCTTCTAGCGGATCTTTACCAACACTGATGTTGCGGAGGGATTGAGCCACCAATGGGTAAAGACTTGTGTGCTAAGGAAAATAGTAAAAAAGGAAACAAGATCAAAGAGAGCAGTCAAAAGCTGAATATTATTGCTATTGATGATGCTCCCATCAGTTCTCCATTTGTTAAATACTTGGAATCTTTAATTAGTTGTAGATAATTATTACTATGCTACAGCTTAGTAATACATTTTGAATATGTGATATTAAAGTCAATTACTAGACATACACTGCTATTTCATTTGTACAACTTATAGCTGTTGGTATAGAAGAGGATTTTTCCAAAATTTAGAAAAAGAACAGCCCTCTCCACTTTTTGAACAAAACTCTTATTTGACGAGCACGTATCACCAAAATGATAACAACTACGAAGACCAATAGTCTTGATGATCCACCCGGAAGTAGAAAATCCTCTTGTATACCTTTAACAGCAAAATACCTTTGTGTCACAGGTAAAATCAGCTATCTCTCCAGGCCTCATAGTGACGACAAGTCTCTCCCACACTGCCAGCTTGAACTTTTTGCCCAGAATAAGTTCCATGGGCTTACTGCGTACCCCCATGGTCCGGGAGTCATCCAGCAGCGTGCCATCACACAGACTGGTGCGGTAGTGAAAAACTACCTGAAACAAGGAGAACAGGAAAAGTAAATTATATGATTCATTATCACTAGTTCTGTAAAAGTGTCAAATAAAAAGAATTGTAGTGGAAATGTGGGTGTAACACATTATTCTTGATTGCAAAAAACAATGGACATGTGTTTTTTAAATCAAAATCATATCATGCATTTTCATTTTAGTTCTCAAGCAGAGCATACAATCAGGATAGATATATTTGTCGAGAGAAAGATGGCCAATGAGATAGCCAATGAGATAGCCAATGAGATTTCGCAGAGATATTGACATGTCCTGCTATCCAATCACAGACTCCGAAAACATCCCGTTTAGTCCCGCCCCTAATTTTTCTTCAGATGGGGAAAAAAAATCTCCTAACGACTACAACATGAAGACGGTCCATAACAGTAAACACTTCGATATACGCACACCTTCGCTAACCCTGCAATACACGACGGACACATGCTAGACGTGTCCCCACTTTCGCAGCAGACTATCATGTGCTAGCATTTAAGCTAGCTTGTCCAGTGGTGCATATTCAGTAACGTCACAGTTTCGAGGAGTACCGACCAGACGTGTTAAACCCCAGTCTTACCTTGGTACCATTTGGAAACTCGGGCAGATCTCCTTTGCCAGGGCTAACTACTTTCTTAATTATTCCTTCTTCCAAAAGCTTTCGCGCTACTTCCTCCATCCTTGAGTGATCTGCGTTTACGACAAATGACGAAGGATGTCGACTCCCAGGCAGCGCGAATGTTTGCTAAATGGCGCCCCCTACAGGGTTCAGGCAGTACTGCTAAACGCGTACGATTATTTCTTGGCAATTATTCATGGTTGTTATAAGAACTATTGTTTATAGTTCTATGCAAACAATCAGGAGCTGTTTAAAGAGTTAATTTCTGGTGTTACGGCGATGAGCCAGTCTGTTGCTTGGGTTCTTCTAAATGTTATTATATTGCCTGGATATGTATTCAAATTTCCTTTTATATTGGAAACATGTGACTTAACTCAGCTAATTAGAGGCTTTTCCTTTAACAAGCATAAATACATACATTACATTCAATAAAATACATTTTATTTTATTGCAGTTTCACAGTAAAATTCACAAAACAGTCAATATGTAGGAAAAAACAACAGAAAGACAGGATTCATGTTCACTTCATATAGCGAGTGAGAACTTTGTAAAGTGGTTGAATGAGTAGTGGTCGTTACCAGTGCCACAGATAAAATAAAAACATGGTAAAACACGGTGATAAACATCATTTTTCAAAATAAGGCAAATAGAACAGTTTAAATCCTCGTCTTCCCCGCACAGCACAGCTTATATAAATAACATGGTACACTGTATGGAAAGAAAAAAAACATTGTGACGTTGATATGAATGGAGAAATATGTAGTTAGTTTATACAGAAAACAGTTAAATACTTACCTCCAGGAATAAATAGGAGAAACCCAGGCACAAAGAATATGGCACTTGAAACACCTGCAAAAGAAAAATATTAAGGGGTAATTTTAGAGAGAGATGACCAAAAAACAGGTACATTTCTGTTAACAATTTGATGTCACCAAATTGTAGGGCACAGTCATAAAAAACTGTATTCATTAAAGTACTCCTAATATATTATATTATCTTTCAAAATAAAAATTGTGTCATTGATCAATTCCTTAGTCCTACCTGCTTTTGGGTTCAGCTGTATGACCACACCGGTGAAGATCAATGCTTCATTAAAAAGACAAAAACAAATAACAACATTAAAACTACAATCCAATCCAATCCACTTTATTTATATAGCACATTTAAACAACAGTTACGTTTCCAAAGTGCTGCACAAAAAAGTATAAAATAAATAACAACTTATCCTTAGCTTCACCAAGTATAAAAGAATAAAAATATATAAAACAGATTAAAACCATAAATAGAAAAATAAAAACACAGAGGACCACACAACTCACACAGTGTTAAAAGCCAAAGAGTAAAAGTGGGTCTTAAGACGAGACTTAAAACACTCTACTGTGGGGGCCGTCCGGACATGGAGGGGAAGAGCTATTGCACCTTGCATTACAAAACTGCTTTTCTCTGGTGAGAAGTAGAAAAAAACCTTCCACTACCTTTCACTAGAAGGTCAAATTTAGTGAAAGGTTCAAATGCAAAAAAATATCAACTGCAAACATTTATTCCTACGAACATTGAATAACGCACTAATTTGATCTGAAATGGATTGTGATTAGCAAGATGCAAGGACATCCATACATTACAAGGTCAAATACAGTATGTTTTAGAAACTTACCAACTCCAGTAATGAGAAGAAGAAATGATGCAAGGACAACTTTTCTATTGTTTTTGATCAGCGGGTGAGAGACCCACCTGAAAAACATATCAAGGCAGTAGAAGCTTGCTGTGAAAGTGAAGGTCAATTTTTGTTAAATACAACTGTAATTGTACCCGCAACAGTGTGCAGAGAGCTGGGTGACGGAACTCAAGGTGCTAAAGGACCATTGAGAGCTGCAGTACGACAAAGTGGAAGGATCACTGAAACAAAAAACACTTAAGCACTCCAAATAGTCAAATCAAAGCCATTATGCACAGTGGAAAACAGACATTTGCGTGTATAAAAGACACCACCATGTATAAAATACTTTTTTTCTCATCAGTGAAAAAAACCCCTGTATTAGGCGAGTTGTTTTGTATTCCAAAATGATCTGTAGTTGCTCAATGCCACAATGTTTATTACTTTCTACAAAGTCAGAAGCTTACATACATTCTGTTGAATTTCTCATCTCACTGTTTTCAGCATTCTTACTCAACTCATTCTGGAATTCTGTCTACACAGAACTGGTTTGTATTATTGTTATACAAATCCAATTTGATTTTTCATGTTTACGAATTACCATTCAAAAGTTTACTTACTTAATTTTAAATAAGTTATTAAATGTTGAATTTCCACTGCTGCCCAATGTTTCTTCATTTTCCAGATTCTGCAATGACAAACAGCAAGGGGCTTTGAACAAGGTTATAATAGAAAATGGTAATACAATATAACGATGAGTGCTTGACACACAGCAGGGATTAGCAACACTTGATGAGTGTGTTGAACCAACCAATCACAAGCCACAGTTTGAGTAACTTTGTGAAGGTTCTCAGTATTGGAACAGAATTTCTGCTCAAGATTGCAAAGAATGTGCTGCCTCAATAGTGTAAGTCCTTTGTTTATTCTATTTCATCTGAATTGATTGGCACAAGATAGAGACATTGAATTGACCTTGTATCCAGTTTTGGTTCAATTTTAGCAATGCTGCATTTCACAGATAGCAGTGTTCATGGTATGAGGAGCTATTAGTTCTGCAAATATGTCTGCCTTACCCAAACCTAACTGCACCCAGGTAACCCGAGTTTGAGACCCAGAGTCTAACTGGTCAAACGCAAATTAAATGTCTTGTCTACTAGGATGAATAAACAAAAGTGAAAATATTGTTTCCTAATCCATCCATTTTCTTCCCATTAATCCATTTCTGGGTCTGGGGGTTGCACCCAGTTCACAGAGCACCAGCCCCTCACTGATCCTCCTGCAGGTGGTGAGTCTTGATCTTTCAGCGGGGTTTCAGGCAAAGTGGGGTTAAGTGCCTTGCCCAAGGACACAACAACAGCAGACATCAGTGGGAGTCATGAAGTAGGTCTATTGGTGGGCTCAACCCACAACCTTCAGGCCCAAAGGCCAATGCTCTACCACCTGAGCCACTGTCGTCTCAGTGGCTCAGGTGGTAGAGCTGGTTGGGTGATTAGTGCTGCCATTATGCAAATTCTTAAAAAGACATTGAGTGGTAAGATTCAAAAAGACAACTTTGTGGAGACAACCTGGTTAATTGCTGCATGTGAAGCCTGATCTCATGACCTCAGATGCTAAGCAGGGCAGGGCTTGGTTAGTGCAGGAGATGGGAGACCTCTGGGAACACCAGGTGCAACACACCTAATATGACTGTGATGTGTGCATGATGAATGATTCCATCCATCCATCCATTTTCTTCCGCTTTATCCGTTGCCGGGTCGCGGGGGCAGCAGTCTAAGCAGAGACGCCCAGACTTCCCTATCCACACACACCTCCTCCAGCTCGTCCGGGGGGACCCCAAGGCGTTCCCAGGCCAGCTGAGAGACACAGTCCCTCCAGCGTGTCCTAGGTCTTCCTCCTAGCCTCCTCCCGGTGGGACGTGCCCGGAACACCTGCCCAGGGAGGTGTTCCGGGGAGGTGAATGATTGGTGGTGATAATGTCTTATTTACTTTCCTCTTTTCAGTCTAGCTTATCAGTTATTCAGTCTAATTTATCATCTCAAGGTATGTAGTGAATGAATAAAAGTACTACACTGTATATACGAATGCCTCCTATGCTGCCTATAGTGTGATGTCATGAATTCTGTTTTACTTCTTGTAATTATTTTATTATTTAAAAGTTTACCTGATACTTGAGGTTGGTGTGTTCAGGGGCCGCAACGGAGCCAGTAGATGTCAGGTTCTGTGGTTTGGTAAAAGACAGTGGGCCAAATGTCATGTCCCCAGGCTCCCGGTCCTTGTCCCGTCCTCTCCAGCTCTGCAGGTCTCCATCAGCCCCCTCCTCCTCGCGCTCCAGCACAAAGGCGTCATCAATACTGAACTGCGTCGCCATGGTGATAGCCTCTCAGAGCTAGTGCGGCCTAATGCGCACTACACCGGGGGGTGGGGGGAAGAGAATGCGCACAATTACACTAGGATCACGCTGTCCTCAGAAACACTTTGATACGTGCAGAATGAGTCATTTATATATTTCACATTATACCATAACCTTGTCGACGTACGATTTTGCATTAGCCCATGTTCGGTACAGAACGGATAAGGGAAAGTTATTGTTCAAAGAAATGTTCATAGTGATAGACGTGTTGAATGTTAGCTCGTCACGGTATATTCGTTCTTATGAAAACAGGCTATGATTCACATTGTAACCACTACACTGTTGCCGTTGTAGATTTCTGCCATTGTTGCCTTCTTTCCGCTACTCAGTCAGATGACCAAATCTGAAACTTACTGTTTTACGCGAATTCCTTTCTCTAACACGGGACCATCCAGCTTGTTGTGCTTCACCCACTCCTCTTCACATGTTGCTCGTTCCTGGTTCTATTGTATTTTCAGAAAGAAAATACTCTTGTTATTTTCTTTAAAGCGACGACCAAAAGCTTTTCCCAACTTTTTTCTTCGATGTTTTTCTAACACCGGGTTTTCGATTTCTCACGCCTGATTCCGCCCTAAGTACTGGGAGCAGCCTGCTCAATCTAACACAGAACAGAGCATAAACATGATCTACATCCACAGGCCATTTTATTATGTTAGACAAGACAAGAGATCCTTTATTCATCCCACAGTGGGGACATTTCAGTGTTGCAGCGCACATACAGGACAGTAGTAAGAACACAGAGAGAGAACACATCATATTAAAAATAAGAAGTAGCTATGTTTCTTTGCTAGCTGTAAAATAAAATATATATACAGTACAGACAAAAAGTTTAGACACACTTTGTCATTCAGTGAGTTTCTATTCTTTTCATGACTATTGACGGTAGATTCACACCCAGGCTGTGTAAGGGCTATTTGACCAATAAGGAGAGGGATGTGTGCTGGGCCAGATGACCTGGCCTCTACAGTCACCGGACCTGAACCCAATCCAGATGGTTTGGGGTGAGCTGGACCAAGTGCTAAGCATCTCTGGGAACTCCTTCAAGACTGTTGGAAGACCATTTCACTACCTCTGGAAGCTCATCAAGAAGCAAGAAGCAAGAAGCAAAAAGACTTTGAAGAACCTAGACTATAAGACATAGTTTCAGTTGTTTCATTTTTTTGTACGTTCATAATTCCACATGAGTTAATTCATAGTTTTGATGCCTTCAGAGTGAATTTATAATTTTCATAGTCATGATAATAAAGAAAACTCTTTGAATGAGAAGGTGTGTCCAAACTATTGGTCTGTACTGTGTAGCGTGGAGTTATATAGTATACATATGATAGATAGATAGATAGATAATTTATTGATCCCAAAGGAAATTGTGCATTGGTCCCTTGCTCGCAATCATACAATCATACAAACATAGGATAGAGTTAAAAGATAATAATAACATAATTAAAAATGACAATAAAATACATTCATATCATTAAAAGAGAGAAGTTAAAGCACTGCAAGACAATTCTCAAGACCTCTCCCTCATCCCCCCTGGGGAGGTGTTCCGGGCACATCACACGCTGGCCTGGGAACGCCTTGGAGTCCCCCCGAACGAGCTGGAGGAAGTGTATGTGGATAGTCTGGGCGTCTCTGCTTAGACAGCTACCCCCGCAAACCGGCAATTGATGATAAGATAAGATAAGATAGACTTTATTGATCTAACACTGGAGACATTTACAATGGAATGGATGGATGTTCAAACAAGTGGAGTTCTGTTCAAATATCACCAGTTCCACTCAGCCATCAGCACGAACAATCAGGGTTACAACTGAAAAAGGTAAACTTTTAAAAGCATTTATAAATCCACACCAGGGAACCTCTGGAGATGCCAACGTCACAACTTCCCAGTATACATTCAGACACTGAAGATGCAAGACCAACCTCAGTAATGTGGTATTTCTTTTTGGAGGGTTATATAATCCACAAACATATCTTTTTTTGTATCTTTTATAAATATTGGGATGGGCTATATAGTTAGTTTATATAGTTTTTTTTTTTTTTTGACCCTGAAGACATGCACGAATGTTGGTACCTGGGAGGGCTTAAAGATGCTATACCCGATTTATTTTCTAATGAGTTCATAAAAATTCTTATTACTACATACAAGTTGTATTATAATCCGTAATTTAATTGAAAACTTGAGCTCATTGATACAGCTTGTGTATGAATTCAGGCCGTATAAAAGTGCTGAGTAGAGACTTAGCATGACGCCCGCTCTCCTCCTGCGTCCTCTAGCCTCTACAGCACTCACATCACTAATATGGCTTCAACGCAATGGCATACAAGTCACACGCCTAATATGACCTCCACAGTGCCACCTATAGGAGATAATGCAGAAAGTATAAACTTTGAACCAAGCAAATTGTGTAAGTCCCTGACCACTGGGGGCATCCTGAATTCTTTGAATGAGCTTTTTGAGCATGATTTTTGTCCGATAAGGCTAGAAATGAATTCACAAATACAGCATATGACTTATCCTGGCCTTAACCATCAATAAACTCCAAGTGCCTGCAGTTACCCTCTTGTATTCCATCCGACCATTCAGAATGCAGGGGAGGCGGGTGCTCTGGGTGTTAGTGCTGAATTTTCTGTCCATAGTTTGGCATTGGCAGCAAATGCAAAAGAAATCCGTTCTGGTTTGGCTCCCTAATATCAAAAAATCGAAGTCGGGGCAAGAGGAATAGTTAGCCAATTTAATTTTTTTGCTGGCAAAGATGTTGCGGCTCTACTTCCCACGGGCTCCGCTAGTGGCAAGGCAGATGGCTAAATGTTAAATACCTCACTCACTCGGGCGCATGCATTACGGTAGACTCAGATTCAATAGTTTCAATCTGCAAAACCTCTCCTACCTGTTAGCGGAGCCCAAGGGAAAAAATCCCAGTACAAAATGAAATGAGTACGATTGTATGGTAAGACCAGGGTACTATGACTCTGAACACAACAATATACAACTTTGAGTGCAACAGCGCCACCTACAGGTACTTAAAAGGTTGTGTGTTTTTGAGTTCAATCTAGTCCAGGTCTTTCAATGCAGAGACTTCTACCATGTCATTTCTCCAAAGATTGAAGTTATAAAATGTTAGCAAAAAAGGTGGGATCATCACAGTAAAGCGGGCCTGTCATACATTTCTTCTTTTTTCTGGGATTCATGGCCACAGGTTTAGTGCTACAGAACTGAAACTGGTATCAGTAATAGTTACTTTCATGAATCTTTGAAGCAACTGTGGTTAAAGTCCAAACTCATCATTATAACAATATGCATGAGGCAGTACGTTTCCTCTGCATGTTTTGGTTTTCTGAAGGCCAAGCTACTGGCATCGTGGCAAAAGCTGATTGGAGGAATCCATTCCTCCATGCTGTATAATATCTCTTGCATTCTGTAACATCTTTGTTTGTGCTGTCTACCCTCGACAATAAAACATGTCTTCTGTCTGAATTAAAGACACGATCCCAGACTTTGTCATTTTCTTGAATACATATGAGCTCAAGAGTGCCACCTATGGGAGGCCTCGGACCTAGACATGGGCCGATCTGCTCTAGGCAGGGCCAAATCATTACATCCATACATGCATTATATCACATTACGCAGAGGCTGCATGTCCCATGGTTGAACACTAGCGGTGCACTGAATCCTTGAAATTAGCTTTTTTGTGCATAATCCTGGTTCAATCAGGCTGCAAAGTCAATGGCAATGCCGCTTATTGAACTGGCACCCGGGAGGTGGTTACGAGAGCGGCGAGGGCTTTCATTGCCCCTTGCAGCTTTAATTATGATTATTATTTAATACTTTTTAAAATGTATTTATCTATTTATTTGTTTATTTGACAGGGACATTGCACAATAAATGTATTGTTCAGACCGGCTATAGCTACAAGCTAGTTTTCATCCGTAGTCCCTGAGGCAGAGGCAACGTGAGAGCAGGTTTACAGTCTGCAGAGAATTGATAAATAGAAAGTATGAATGGCCTAATTAATATCTTCACGAGGAATCCTAAAGTATCCATTAAAGGTTTCGCGATTCGATCGGTTAGAAAACTTAAAACAACACATGCAAAAGGCATATTCAGACACGCTGCTCTAGTGAACAACTAGCTCGGCGACCACCACTTCGTGATACGCATATGTAATGAAGCGGACGTGACGTCAATTGCAAGCAAGCAATAGACGTCACGTGTTCTCTCCACTGATGTCCAACACAATACTGCACTCTACAGGTGTCAATTGCTCATTACACATATATTGCCGTTTTGAGAGTGAAAATGTAACTGAGGTGAGGTTTGAATCCCAGTTATTGGAATACTGGCGCGTTGACATAGTAGTTCTCTTCTAATATAAAATGGTATTAAAACTGTATTTCTAAATCAATCAAACCCTGCAAAAGGTCTTTAAGTAGCCCAAAAAAAGTGCTGCAACTCTTTTAATTTGTTTTCGCCCAGGGGAATGTTTGCATGGTTTTAATGCAAGAGAACATCTTAATATTTACTGTCAGGTCTGACCACACCCGCCCACAGAGACCATGAGGACACACATCAGATTTGTGTAGCCCTACATCAGTTCACTGGGCCGTACTGTCCTCTACACTTCTCCATAGACCACGCAGGGGGAGCATCAGTGTAGTCCAGGAGGCTCCAACCTGTAGCTTGGTAGCTAACAGTAGCTCGACAGCTCCTTTCAGGTAGCTATCCAAAGGATTTAGAATTTAACACATGATCTTGAATGACTCACTTTTGAGTCATTACATATCTATTATAAGTAAAAATATAGGGTTATACAGTATTATGGTATTTTTACATCAGTATTTATTACATAGAGGTTTATTATGACCTCTTCTGTTGTATGAAAGTTGCTCTCCGATTGAAAAAGGTTGGAGACCCCTGGTGTAATGCGTCTCTGCGCGCTTGGCCGGAGTGAGGAGAGCCC